AAGAGCACAAGAACTACTGAGGAATCCCAGTGAGGAGAGAGTTTGAGAGAAGAATGACAACAAGACAAAATGCAAAAGGAAAATCAAATAAGGTGCGTTGGACTGGAGGGTCACTGGATATGGCTACTCTTTTCCAAGTATGAGTTACTACAGTTTTAGAAACAGAAGTCTCTTTAAAACAGGTAGAAGAACTTACAGAGAGAAAAAGTAAGTGAACTTCTAGGAACTTTGTTCTGAAAAAGGATGAGACTGGGCGTTATAGAGACTGTGGTACAGAATCAGAGGACGATGTTTAAGACAGCAGAGATGAGGTATAATATTCATAGGAGGAAAGGATCTAATACAGAAAAAAGGAGGAAATCTCAAGAGAATGTGGCGCAACTGGGAGAGACATTGGAGAAAACACACGGGAGGGAGCAAGAGAGCAAGCAGGGTTGCTTGCATGATCAGAAGTAAGTAATCCCTAGGGAGGAGGGCAGACATTGTAGACACAAGACAGTTTTAAGAAGTCAGAGAGTCTTTCAGGTTTCACCTTGCACAAGTTAGAGAAATATATTTTTTGTGATTGTATTGATCCCTGTTTTTCCAACAATTATGTTTAATCCCTCCCAAAACCCTTTTAAGGTAAACAGGGTAGAGGTTTTGTTTGTATTATTTTGTTTCTCAGTGCCCATTGGACAATAGCAAAAGGACACCCAAGCAGATCTGATTCATTTGAGATCAGAGTGAGATCAGATCCCTAGGTGACAGCCACTAAGGAGTCTTTCCAACACTTCAGAAAATGTAAGAAGATTCAATTATACTGGCACAGAGGCAATCTGATGACAATTCAGAAATTCAAAAGGGAGAAATCTGACATCAATTTATTGGGTTTACAACAGACACCTCTTGGCTGCAAGAATGCCTCTGAATTTAATAGGAAAGAGAAGAGTTAAATGTTGGTGTACTATTTTTTGCGATGAACTGGCTATGTGTATTCTTTGAACTGTCAATAGAGGAAAATTTCAGCTTTATGAATATGAACAACAGGAACATTTAGTTAACATCTATGCCTAGTATTGCCTACAAGAGCTCCACCTCTTCTCTATGGACCAGGTAAAACTCTGGAGTCTGTGGATTAATTCAGCCCCAGGCATATTACTGTCAAATCCACTATGATGAGGAAGAGGAGACCCTGAGCCCTCACACCCCCACCCCCTTCTTGGCAAACAAGAGCACTGCCCTTTAGCTGGCAACATCAAAAGAGGTTTCTGTAATTTTGCCAGCTCAGCAAGAAAGAAAATTAACCCTGTGTTTTCTTATTCCAGTTGCCACAGCATGGCTTGGAGGTGGGGGGTAGGGCACCAAGTAACACAGACTCTCTCAGCATGAGAAATCAGAGCTCATTATGCATACCTCCTGACCGTAGGTTAGGAAGAATTGATCACCAGAAATGAGCACATTTCTAGATTCACTGTTAATTGTCTAAAAGGTTTGCAAAGTCATATTGTGGCAGAAAATTTAAAAGTCCTTCAAATAATTTCTTCTGTTCAAATTTGGAAATGTGTGATAGGTAGCACTATTTTCTTTTTAATGAGCAGCTGCAATTAAGTAGAATGCTGCTATCTGATTAATTCACTAAATCCCTGGATGACTCTGGGTGTGGCTCAGAGAGATTAGGGAGGAATCTTAGTTTCTCACTTGGAAGGGTACCCTGCATCTCGAAGCAAAGCTGAAACCTTCCATAACTTCCTGATGCTGCAAAAGGAAAGGTACTGCAAGGTTGCAATTCTAAACCACAGATCACACTCTTAAAGATAAGAATTATTTTTTGTATGGAGGAGAAAGGCAGATGTTAGTAAAGTAAGGGGGTGGAGGGGGTAAAAGGGCTACTTGCTTGCAAGATTAATTTTTACACTTCAACTACAAGCTAAAGTCATTATTTTTAAACAAAGGAAGCATCTCACAGTTGTCTTGCTTCTTGGACATCACACCTTGCAAGTTTTTAATCATCTGCCATATACTTGGTAATTGAGCTATTTAAAAATATTTGAAAATCATAAGCCAATTAAATCTCAGGGATCCTTTCAATGCATCCTTTGGTCATTCCTTTCTGTGTTCCCATCCCATTTTCTCTTCTTCCTGCTGTAATAATCTATAGTGCTAGCGAATGGCTAATATAGATCATTTATGCTTTCTTCCTTAGCTATTGGCAATGTATTACAACTTAGAAATCCGGGATTGCTTCTTTATGCGGCTCGAGTGGAAGAGGAAGGAAGTGCAAGTCCTCCAGCCCCCTCCCACATTTCTGCTGGATTTCATGGGTGTGGCAGAGTTTAGACCTTTTCGGGTCTGTGCCCTTGTTTTATTTTCAATTAAGAACTAGGATAATAAATACATATCAGAAGTATAGACACTAGTGGATTGTACTCTAATTGACCGATAATCATTTCACCCAAAAGCAAGAAACCTGTGTAGGACTTAAGTATTCACAGTATATAAATCCCAGTCAGGCTAGTGTGAGCCCACGCCCTGAGCCCTGAATATACCATCTCTTTCTGTTTGATTTAATAGTATCTTAAATACTGACAAACGTGAATGATTCATAACACTGTTATATAGGACACATAACCATTTCACACATAAGTACACACAAAATGTATGGGATAAAAAGGACCTTTGCTATATATTTCATTTTCTCTTTTGCATATGAATGATGCTAAACCACAGGGAAGGCGTGTGGGAGCATACAGAATACATGCATGACTGGTGCGTATGAAGTATGCAGAGGCTCTATGCGTCTACATGCAAACTCCCTAACACACAATTTCATCTCCATTACTTAGCACATCAGAGTTCATGCTGAAGGCTATCTGTGAGATACAACTGGAATCTAGGCAGCTGTCTGCATTTTGGAAAGGGAATTCCTCTAGCTCCAATTCCCTGTCAAAAAAGCAGGTTTAGTTTCCTTTATCAAAGGAGATGCATCTATACTTACATGTACATAAGGAGGGTGGGAATAAGTTGAAAACCAGTGTATTTTTCTTTCCAAAAATTGAAGCTTTTGAAAAGAATAGCATTGCATCCCTAGGGCTCCGCCTTCCTAAATTTTATTTCCCCAGTTCACCAGTGGGGTAACCTTAGGACCTTTCTTTGGCAGTGTACTTAACCCAAATACTTGTATATCTATTACATATATATATATATATATATATATATATATATATATATATATATATATATATATATATATAAAAGAAGGAAGGCAAGAAAAAAAGTCTCAGTTTTAAAAATGATCTAGTGGAAGTGCCAGTCTCTGGAACCAAAGAGCAGGTTAGAGAAATGCCTGCAAATAGCCCCTGCAGTCCCCCACCCCCACGTCTCCCAATGATCTCTCCCCACACAACCAAGGATGCCTACTACTTTCATTCAATCATTCATTCATCCACTCATTCATTCATTCGCTTAGTTTTGTCTTGCTTCTCCACCCACTGCTCTGATAGTCTGCTTCTGTGTCTTCCTCTTCCTCCACCTCCTCCTTCATCCTTATTCCCCACCCCCACTTCCAGGGCGCTGGCTCAATGTGCAAGGTTTGTAGACTCTCCACCTGAGAATATTACAAATTACCCAATTTCTAACACCTGCGTAAGAATAATACCCAAATCCACATTTTGTACCCCACCCAGCATAATGCAATCACTGCAGAGAGCTTCTTTGACCAAGACTGCCTGCTACCACCACTGACACATGCACACATTCACACACACACACACACACACACACACACACACACACACTCACACAGAGTTACCCATATCACACACCCATTTTTTCTCTTTAACCCTTGCCAAAAAATCACTTAAATGTCTTCCAAGAAATGTTTTAAAGCTTCTTTTTGGAGAATGTCACTGCCCTGTCACTGCGGAATACCGAACTCATTCCTCCCTCCCCCCCCCAACCCCCCCCCCCCCCCGTCAAGTTTCTCAAACGTCTTGCAAGAAATAAGTGAGCCATTGGAAATGTAATGGGGGGGGGGAATCTAGGCAGTGGGGGAGGGAGGGAGGGAGGGGATTCGGATTCTTGCTAATCTTGGATGTGTCTCTCTTCCTGATGAAAATTAGTCACCATCATTATTTTACAGGATGTGAACACGTCTCTGGTCACCGACCAAGCCAGGAAAGAAGCAAAGGAAGAGGGAAAGAGAAAGGATCTGATTTCCAACAGGTAATACTGGCTGGCCTTTCCCATCCCGTCGGAGCTCAAAGCTCCTAGGGGCGTGGTCCTCTCTTTCCTCCGACCAGCTGGTGCACAATCGGCTATGAATCTCAGAAAGGGGATTTTCCCCCATTCCACACTCTCAATCCACCCCCCCTCCAGCCCCAGATGTCTTTAGATTTCTCTTAAAATGAAGAAGAATTTTCCCCAAACCACAGTTTCATTCATTCATTGAAAAATAAATAAATAAATAAAACGTCCACATGTTCTTCCATCGATACCTGCGCCCTTTTGGAGCTCATGCATGTACGAAATAAGAGCACATGGGAGCTAACTACGACAGAGCAGGCAGTACTCAAGCCTGGATATTCGTCCCTCCACCACGCTTTTTGCACATAATATGAAGGCTCCTTTCTCGATCTTGTAGGTAAAGCCCACATCTTCCTCTTCACACCCCTTTCTACACCCACACCCTCAAAAGCAGAGACCTAAAACACTAAGCATTAACTGATAGGCAAAAAAAAAAAAAAAAAAAGGAAGAAGCAGCAGCAGCAACTGTATTTCTAGCCAAATGGGCATATTTTTCTACCCTCATCCTAATTAGGAGCAGCATTCCAAAACCAGAACACGAAAGACTGAAAAGAATAAAAGCTGGGATACGACCATCGGCTACCATATGTTAAGGAATCGCGAGCACCATGCCAGAGCAGAAGCAGTTAAAATATATTTTTTTTCCTGCTTTTACAAGGAAATATTGTACTATGGTAATTTCACAACAGCAAGAAGTTAAAAATCTTTAGCTCTACCTGTTTGGTTCTTCTCATACAGCACAGCATGGTTGTAGCGTCCTTGCCTTCTTCCTGCCTTCTCTCCTTTCCTCTCTCTTCCTATTCCCCCCCTCTCCACCTCTTTTCTGCTCGCTTGCTCACTCGCTCTCTCGCGCTAGCGCGCTCTCCCTCCCTCCCTCCCTTCCTCCCTCCCTCCCTCTCTCTCCTTTCCTCTCTCTCCCTCACACACACCAGGGCAGTTAGCTGCAACTGTAAGGTCCAGAGCTATTGCTCATCGCTCAATCTCTCTCTCTCTCTCTCTCTCTCTCTCTCTCTCTCTCTCTCTCTCTCTCTCTCTCTCTCTCTCTCCCTCCCCGACTCTCTTATCTCTCCCTGTCTCCCCTCTCCTCTTCTCTCCTTTCCTTTCCTCTTTTCTTCACCCACTCCACCCAATTTTTCAATTTTTATCTGTCCTTTTCTCCCCTCTCTCAGAATTGTTCACTAGCTTTCAATGACTAATCACTTCCCGCAGCCCCTACCCCCTTTCTAGACTGTCACCCCCTCCCAGTCCCCTGCCAGCCTCATGAATATTTAAACATCTCCAATCTGGACCCAATTACTTACTGACTTTGCCACTGCATTGGGAAGATGACTGGGTGGGGGCAGAGAAGGGATATTCTAGCTAGCTCAAGAGATTGGATAGAACGTGTTTGGGGAAAAGGGGCCTCAAGGATGCTAGTTTTTAAAAAGAAAAAAAGAAAAAAAAACCTCTTCTCTTTCCCCAATACCATAAAAACAAAACCAGACACTTTAAAGAGGAGCTGTATTCAAACCTTTATAAAGTTAGGTCTGCCATTTACATTTTATGCAGTTAATAATTGTAGAGGTGCAATTCCCTCAAGAATATACTTCATAGCTAATGTACTCAAGAGACATATAACTTTGCATAAATAAATGCATACAGTAAGTTTAGATATGCATGAACATATCTCATATACGCTCCAAAAGACTAGACAAATCAGCGTGAATATCCAGCATTTAAACATTCTAAGCATTTGAGTTGTAAAACAATAACAACTTTGGGGGGATTAGCAACCATATCTAAAATCATATGATAGCTTTTTTTTCTTGATGCACATATATTTGAAAGTTGTGGGGGGTTTTCCAGCTTTACTGAAAAAGCTGAATATGTGAACCACAGATTTGTGTCATATTGGTAGTAATATTTCATAATTTGGGAATGAAAGGTAAAAGCAATCTCATCTCTACTGAGAAGAATAGATACACACACAATGTCTATTTCATGTCCCTCTGTGGTCTTTCAGAATTTGGGAGAGGAACAGGTGGTTCAGAAAGTGGATATATCCTGAGTGTTGGATATGTAGTGACTGGAAGAGCTTGGGAAGCTCCATGCACCAAAGTTTCTCATCTGTGAAATAGGTCTGGTAATGTTGAGCTAGTGAATGTCTTACAGGATGAAATAAAATACAGACAAAGCCCAGCTCAGCCACTCTGAAGTTATCATTGCTTTCCCAGACTATACTTTGTTAAAATGTTGATGATAGTTTCAAGTGACTATATCACAGAACTTTCCAAACTATTTCTTATTGTGCATTAACTGCGACAAGCACCTCTAATGAAAGAGCTCTCTTATGTTCATTTCAGGACCACTGAAAATAGAATATGTGTTATACATTTTAACAAGTCAAAGCACGTTCTTGTCGGTTTGGACTCTCTTGGGAAAACACTCAGGGAAGATGGTGATTGGTGGAGAAATGGATGTAATTTACCTTAGGGGTCTCTCTGAGAATGACCTGCTTCAGATTCAGACCACTTGTTCTTTTCTAAGTTTCTGTGTTTTATGGATCATTTTTTTAAGAAATATATTCTAGATTCAGCATTTGTCTAAGTTTGCCATGAGCCCCCTCCAAGTTCAGCCTTCCATGAATTCAAGTTACAGACAAGGGCAAAGAATGAAGAAGAAATAGCTTATGTCAGAGATCTTCCTGTTCTGGATGAGGAAAATGATGAAGGGAGAAAGCTAGGGGGTAGTGATAAAGAGGGGAAAATAGCCTCTTTCCATTTAAGCAGATTTATAGTTTGATTGATAAGACCATTTGATTAACTGTTTGGCTAAATATCAGGCAAAATGTGAGACCAGTTTCTTTCTCTTTCACTGTACTAATCCCAACCCTCCCACTTGTCTTGACTTTTGATTGGAAGTACCTTTAGAAACAATATGGCATACAGACTAGGTCTCAAAATCAAGCCAGATGCTGACTGATTTTTGTGTTAAACTATCAGAACAACCATCAGCTCATATGAACTGTTTAGTCTAATACTCAATAAAGTAGGTACAAAATTCATTCAATTTGAGGGGGGCAGGAATAGTAAGCCAGAGAGAAACGAAGATCCTTGACCAGTTTAAACTAGTTTAAATCTGAAAAGGTGCTAAGCTACATCTTATGACAAGCCCCTACATATCATTACTTCTGGCATTTAAATGAGTAAAATACATCGTTTATATGCTGAAATGAAATAAATATTCTACAAGATCAACTTTTTAGGCCCAATCTTTATCTCAAGAGCCCTGAAGACAGAACTGATGTCTATATCCAACAGAATCTTGTCTATATTTCTAGTCAAATGTCAGCTCCACCAACTATCATTACTTGGTTCCATATGGGAATCCTCATCATTTTTCATGCCTTTCTCTGTACATCATACATTGTCAATGAGCTTTGAGAAATTACTTCCCAAGAAGATTCCAAACTGAATTTGAATAATATGGAATCAATTCCAATGCATTATTATTAATCTTTCCTCTAAGCAATGGAAGCTGTGGGATGGGAAAGAAAATGAAGAAGAGTAAAGTACACACTAATCTGATCTTACACACACACACACACACACACACACACACACACACACACACACACACAGCAGAGGAGTTGTCTTTAACCCTTTCTCAGCAACTACCCAGTGTATTCTGTAAGCTTCATGCCCTTATCACTAATACCCAAAAATGTAGATTTTTAGGTATCATAAGTAAACATCTTATTTTCAATTAGCAGATGAGTTTATGAATCTATTAACTTCCTTACTACAGTCAATATCATCCTAGAAAAAAAGATGAGGCATGCTGGAGATGAAGTTCTAGTTATTCTTTCAGCTCTCTAAGCCTTCAGACTAAAATGATACTGAGAAGTCTCTAGCCTTTGCTAAGGGATTTATCAAACAGTCATCATTTTAGAAATAAATTAAGAGAAGAGAGTATCCTCATGGAAAATATATTGTTTGTTCCCTTTCTCTTTTTTAAGGAGGAGTAGTACAAGCTTTCACCTGCTATAGTTGCTTTCTGTGGCTGCCCTAACCAAGTACACCAGAATGGGTACCTTAAAAAACAGACATGTAGTTCCCCACAGTTCTAGAGTTAGAAATCCAAGGTTAAAGTGCTACCAGACTTGGTTTTCACTGAGAGCCAGATGGGTCATTCTCTGTCCATGTATGTTCTTATTTTTTTCATTACAAACACACCAATACTCAACCCTTATTTAACCTCAATTACTTCTTTAAAGTCCCCATTCCAAAATGGTCACATTCTGAGGTTCTGGGAGTAAGGACTTCACTAGGCAAGTAGGAAGGGGCACAACACATTTTTGCCCATAACACTTGGCATTCTTTGTCAGGACTTGTGACTTTATTTACTTAATTCAACATTTTCTGAATTAGAAATATCATTCTTAAGGAACTAATATACATTCAAAAGGTAAAGCAAGGAACCAGGCATGGTGGTATAGGCCTGTAATCCTAGCTACTTGAGGAAGAGGAAGAGGAAATTATAAGTGAAAAATAACCAATAAAGCAGAAAGACTTGGGGCATGGTTTAAGCTATAAAGTACCTGCCCAAGAAGGACAAGGCCCTAAATTCAAGCCCCCAAAAAATAAAGGGAAAAAAAGAAGGAAAGAGGAAGGAAGAAAGAAAGGAAGGAAGGAAGGAAGGAAGGAAGGAAGGAAGGAGAAAGAAAGAAAGAAAAGAAAGAAGGAAAGAAAGAAAGAAAGAAAAAAAGAAAGAAGGAAGGAAGGAAAGAGAAAAGAAGGAAGGGCAGAGAAAGGGAAAGAAAAAAGGGAGAAAGGGAGGAAGAGAAGGAAAGAAATAGAAAGTGAAGGATAGAAAAAAAAAGTGAAGGAAAGTGAAGGGAAGGGAAGGGAAGAGAAGGAAAGGAAAGGAAAGGAGCAAAAGGCAGAAATATCATCTCCCTTTCTTCTTAAAATATATTTGTCATTGAATGTAGAGTTCATCCTAACTAGAAGGTGGTGTATCCTTGAGGTCCTTAAGTGAATTACATGTGAAAAGACATTTATTTTCTCTTTTTTTTATTGTGAACATACTATACAGAGGGGTTACAATTACATGGGCAAGATAATGAGTACATTTCTTATCAAGCATTGTAGCCTCCTCCTTTGTTTTCCCTTCCCAGCCTTTCCCATCCTCCTCCCGCCCCCCCACCAAACCCTCCTCCCCGCCCCCACCAAAGTTGTAAAGTTCGTTTTCAACATAACGACTTGTACATCTCATTGTTGCAATGGGTCCACCTGTATCCCTATTTAAACGATTTGTTTTTTCCCTTCCCCTCCACAAATTATAACAACATCAAATACAGTGAAAGCAGGGGTTATACTGTGGGGGAGGGACATACAAAGCAACAAAGAAATAATCTTAAAAGGTGTTAGAAACAATCGCATGAAAGAAAAAAAACCATTTGAATACATATCTTAGGGTTCATTTCCCTAACATCAACTTATCTGACCTTTTCTGCTTGACTCAGACATATACTAGTTATTGCAAATAAGGGAAACCATGGGACCTATGTTTCTTTGGGCCTGGTTTACTTCACTTAATATAATTTTTTCCAAGTCTTTCAATTTCCTAACAAATGGGGCAATGTCATTCTTTCTGATGGAGGCATAGAATTCCATTGTGTATATATACCACATTTTCTTGATCCATTCATCTACTGAGTGGCATCTGGGTTGGCTCCATATCTTAGCTATAGTAAATAATGCTGCAATAAACATAGTCATGCTGA